GGGGGGGGGGGGGGTTAGTTTTGTCTGTATATAGACTGTATTTGCCACGACTTTGGTTGATACATTATTCCACTTGGCACACAATTTTAACTAGATATGCTGTGAAGAATATTACCACTTTCTGTAACTTGGATCGATAAGATTATCTCTAAATGAATAAGGGCATTTTAAGTAATTGCAAACAACTCCTCTCACTGCCTTGTGCACAAACTGTCTCTTTAAATAAGGGGAATACATATGTCTAATGGCATTATACATCATGAACCCATGAGGAAAAAATGTGCACAAATTATACCCATCGGTAACCAGCCTCCATTTTTTATTCCCATCAGTTCTTCAAAAAGCTCATATTTCGAATTGAGAAGAGATTAAAGACCATGCAAATGTCCATTGTTATATGTGTTGCGGAAGCCAAATGTATAGAGTGTAAATAAGTCACAACTACTATACCAAAAATTATGACAGCCACCAAATAATAAATAAGACAATAAAGCAACAATAAAGGGAACACCAGAATTTACGAGGTTCGGCTAATTTTGCCTACTCCTCGGACACAACCAATATTTTATTTCACTCCAAAATACAAGTGAAATAATACTAAAGAGAGAAGATACAAATGCCTTAAACAGATGAGAAGGCAAATGAGAGGTGTGTTTCAATCCTAAACATTAGGCCTTCTTTTATAGGGGAAAAATCCCCCCCAAACTTAACTCCCAACCAATGTGGGACTTTGGCATTTTGCCAAACTTCAACAATATGTTATTGCTAGTTATTGATGTTTACAAGTTTCATACATATGTGCTTTTCTGAAATAAAAATTTACAATGTCATTTCCTTGTGTAGGGGATTGGTTTTCCTATTGCATGGTCTGAATGAACACAGGTCTGTATACCAGCTTTGGAAGAGTTGTTGTGGTTGTAACTTCGATCTTCATGTTTATCGTATTAAAAACTCTACATTCATTAACAGTGGCAGGTATGATGACTTTGCCAAGAAGCTGAATGCTAACGGGTATAAAGTTTATGGAATTGATTGGACTGGTAAGGTTTTCTCTGTGCATGTGCTTGAAATATATAGTTTTCTGTTCCTGATAATTCATAGATTCTGGTGTCTTTTGTTTATTTCTTTTCCATATTTTGTGAATGGATTCTCAGATGCAACTTGCTGTGTCATGTCGATCTTTCTCTTTTTTCTTTTTTGGATACAAGTAAGTATTACGTATTAGTTAGGATGTAGGCAGAGGAGGACCTATTTGTTATAATGAGGGGTCACCGGACCCGTAAGCTTCTGCAGAAATCTGGTATATGTATATGTATAACTTAAAAATGGTTAATTTAAAGTACTTGGCACCCTGAATACTAAAAGCCTTTAGGGGGCACTGGTTAAGCAGAATATTGTGCCCCGTCGTATAAAAATCATGGGTCCGCCTCTGGAAGTGGGGAACTAGATTCATTTCGCTGCAGTATCAGGTTTGATCATCTCAGCAATATCCAAGTTAGAGTCTAAATGGCTCTTCAGCCCATTAAGATTTTTTCCTCCGTAATTGCAAACGATTGCTAATAATTTTACTGACACTAATTCTGTCCTCTTCCATATTTTGAGTCTTGTATGGTTCTCTCAGATGAAAGCATCAACATATGCTTCTAATTTCAAAGATTTTACTAGGGATAAAACCTTCTATTTAATTTGAGGAAGTCATTGCTAACAGCTTTCAGTGTCTCTCTTGCTTTTAACTGTAGCTTTCACAATCACGGTATTAAAGGAGGAATATGTAAATTTTCTGTAGCATACTCATGTCCACTGAGACAAACAGAGGGGGATAGGTTAATGGAGGACCATACTGTCATGTCCTACTTCTCATTCAATTGAAACTTCAGAGCGAGCAGGTTATCCAAGAATCGTCGTGTGTTGCGGAAGCCAAATGTATATAGTGTGAATAAGTCACAACTACTATACCAAAATTATGA